TGTTTTACATTAGCATTAGCATTATTAGCATGAATATGATTAACATGTTTTATATTAACATTAGCATTATTAACATTAATATGATTAACATTTGTAATATGAATATCGAAATATGTAACCTGCACCGATTTTGCATGTGTATTATAAACTTAAATGAGAACAAGTTGAACCGGCATTCCTGAATTTCATGAAGTATAGCTTGGATTTTACAGCTCGAACCTATTGTCTTTCATTTTTACGGTTGTTGTTCGTAACCTTAGATTTATTATTCTGAGGGGAACGTTGGCATGGAATAGGTATATAGGATCTAGGGGAGGTGGTAATTGCTTCAGAATTTCTTTGCAGAATTTTCAAGCTGGAATCTACAAGATTCTATATCAAAATTTAGCCGATGCAAATACAATATCAACATAGTTATTAAATATTAAGCTACCGAAATAGTTATCAATTTTCCGATTAGATCCTTAAGCTTAGGATACTCTACAATATTAGTTGGTATTTCTGCCACAAATACATTTTTCATAAGAACATAGTTCCCAACTCGGGTCATCTTTTTGAATTGGATCTCAAATTTTCTTGATGAGGCACCGAAAATTTGTAAATTTGCTGGCATTGGGCGTCCCATATTAGCCTCCTTCATGGATATGTAATTGAGACCATTTTGCATTTGTCTACCAATTTTTGTACTATCGTTTTCCATTTTTACTTGATCATTGTGTGTAGGTCCTCCGGCTACTTCGAGGGCGAAAAGCTCATAACCCGAATAGTTTTGAACGACAAAATCTGGCCTATTTCCGCTAGAATTCGTATTATTATTTTGGCACTTACGAAACTTAGAGGCCGCCGACGCTAAATCCCTATTATTATGTGAAAGTAAGCATTGTAACTACAAACGAATGATAAGAGAAAATAAAACTGTTCATTTCCTGATAGTCATTTCTCAACAGGCCATTTAGCCAACATCACACAGCATGAAAATTTACTAACAAAAAATATATACTATAAAAATGTTAAATTATCACCTTGTGTGATGTGATTATATGGCTTTCCAGGAAAATGACTGCGACATTACAAATTTTTAGGATCTGAACACAATGTGATATTGCAACAGTTTTTTTTTAATCCTATCGCTATGCATGTACATATGACTTACCAATTAGTATGGGTCCCGTCTATGCATGTTAAAATATCCATAACTTGACTTAAAATTTCGGCAATGAACTTTAGCTCCGACATTTTCCTTGCAAAGAAATCTCCTTGTCGAAATTTCCT